GGGACCATAATTTTGACAACCTCCCAGCTGTATGCCTCTCCTCCCTCCGGGCCGCTGGCAACTTTCTCACACGCTCCCCCCCGGCTTCACCTGCTCGGCGGAGCAGAGTTGTTTCGTCGTTAGGGTTTAGGGTTTAGGGTTTAGGGTTTAGGGTTTAGGGTTTAGGGGTTTAGGGGTTTAGGGTTTAGGGATCATCCCCCCCCCAGGGCCGTTGGTAGAGAGGTCGGATGATGCGGCGAGCAAGGCGTCGTTGTCTTCCATTCCCCCGAATAGGATTCGAAGCCAAGGGGCTGGAGCTCGTTGAGCTTTCAAGTTTTTTGGCTTTAAGGCTTTAGAGTTTAAGGTTTTAGTTGGAGTTTTGGGTTTTAGGGCTTTGATGCTTTGGGGCTCATGGTTTGGATCCTTCATAGTTGGAAAAGGGTTCGGGGTTTCTTGAGGGGCTCTTATCTCAAACATCCCACGAGCACCTCCCGACGACCCTCCACGAAACCTTGCGATTTTGGGGTTTAGGGGCTTAGGGGTTGCACTCCTGTTGTTCCCTAGGCTTCCTTATACATGTCATAACTTACAACGTCCCACTCAAACCCTAAACCCAAAACCCCAAACCCCTAAACCCAAACGCCCTAAAGGCCTAAACCCTAAAACCACTCAAACCCCCTGCTGCACTGGCACCTGGCGCTGCTCGGCGCTTAGATCAGCAAGCTCGGTGCCCTGGTATTGAGGGGGCCTAAATAGTTACTAATACTGGTTTTGGGGGCTCCTTATGAAAATTTATATTAAATATTTTTTGGGGTTCCTTATTATGATAACTATAGTAAAATGGGCCCCCCAAAACCCTGATCTGGTCATTAAGGCCCCTACGGTATTGAGGGAAGGCTTTGGGGACTCTTATAGGGGTTGCAAGGGGTTGAAGGGGTTACGGGGTTTCGGGTTTAGGGCTTTCTTGTTTATGGGTTTAGGGTTTAGGGGTTTAGGGTTTAAAGAGCTAGGGCTTTAATGGGGGTTTCGGTTTCGGGCTCATTGTGTACTCCTTTGACGATTACAAAGATTGTTGCCAGTAGTTGTGTTTGCAAAAATTCGGAGTTTAGGTCATCTCTCACATTGGCTCAATGATGCCAACGAAAACGGATGGTCGCATTTTTTGACGGTATTGTGTATGTGGAGCCACCCAAGAGACGTACTTTGGTGCTTGCCAAGAGGCACCTCACTACCTGAAACCCGAAGCCTCGACACCCAAACCCACAACGAGTCACTGAACCTCGAAACGCTAACGGATTCCACACCCTAGGGGGTAGACTCCTAAGGTGCTCAATCCCAGACAACTCGCCCAAACGTCGGTGCCTCCTGCATGGGCTCGGATTCCACTTTCGGGGATGAGCGTGGTGCCTAGGCATGCTGGAAAAAAGAGGTCATAATGTAGGGGCCTTGATAATTAGACTAAGGTTTTGGGGACCAATATACTATACTTATAGTAAGGAACCCCTCAAAGTAGTACTGGTACTTATTTAGGCCCCTATATGAACCTGGTGTACCACGACGACGTCCACAATGACCACCAGGGCACCCATATCGGTCACCACGAACAGAGCACCAGGCACCACGCTGTCCCCCAAGGTAATGTAGGCGCCTTTAGAATTAGAACAAGGCTTTGCGGCCCATTATACTATACTTATCATAAGGAACGCCTGAAATAGTATAGGTAATTATAAAGGCCCCTACATTACTGGTGGATTCGGGACCACGGCCCGTAATGCTTTCCCCAGGTACCAGCGGGATTCTGGAAGATTCGGGAGCGCGACCAGACTGTTTTCCCGGAAGTACTGGCTATGCTCAAGTTGGCAAAGCCGCATGATTTAAATTTAGGGCCAACTTAGGGTTTAGGGAACCCTCATGGCCCCAATCACTGTGATGCTGCAGGGCCGAAATAGCAGCTCCTTTTCATCACCGTCACCCCTCATATCCACCACTTGGCAGCCCATACAAGTACGCATTGAAAGGGCCAGCTTTAAACCCTCCACCCTAAACCCTAAAACCCTAAACCCTAAAACCCTAAACCCTAAACCCTTTACCACAACTTCTTGCCTCATGTTCTCCGAATGTATAAGCCTCCCCTGGATGCCCCTCACGCAGGCCGGGTCTTCAACTTGAAACCTATGGAACTAGGGTTTAGGGTTTAGGGTTTTGGGTTTAGGGGTTTAGGGGTTTAGGGTTTAGGGTTTAGAGTTCAGGGGTTTAGGGTTTAGGGTTTAGGGCAAGGGGAGGCTCGGGGGGCGAGGGGAGTGGAGGCGGGTCAGCGAGTCTACAGGGAAGGGCTAAATTCTCGGCCATGCCGCAGCCGGGGCAGCACCGAGGAGTCTTGCGTAAGCCAAATCACCTGTCAGCTATGGAATCCTTCAGAATAAGGGGTCCAACCGCGTGAAATTCTCCCCAGCTTAGGGTCTCCATTCCGTTCTGCATACTTGCCGAGTTTGCCCTGATAAAGACCAACTCCAGGGCTCTAGGGTTTAGGCTTTACGGCAAGGTCCGTGCACAGCTTTAAGTCAACAGTTCGGGAATCCTTTGTTGGCTAAAAGCTTCTGAGTCAGTTTAGTCTTAGGGGTCTAGGGCTTCTGAGACAGTATCGGGCCCCTAAACCCTAAACCCCTAAACCCTAAGCCCTAAACTCCCCAAACACCCAAAGCCCAGGGCCCTCAACCCTATCTTTGACAGAGTGGTGCTTCGACCTCTACAAGCACAATCAACAAACATACCTCGATTCCAAGCCCCGCGAATTTGCGATTTGGCGTTTGGGTTCCACGACCTCGGGTTTGGGGTCTGTGGTTCAGGGTAGCTCCAAACATTTGATCAGATGGACCTCTACGTTATAAGCCCTAGACCCGAAACCTAAAAGCACAAATCACTAAATTAAGCTATACCTGTATCCCCAAACCCTACAATGTAGTAGGTTATGACCCCTGAATTAGAGGGTCTTACCCTTAAAACGGTAGGTTTTTGGATCCACAGGTATAACCCCAACAGACCCCACCCTAAACCCTAAGCCCTAAGCCCTAAACCCTAAACCCTAAACCCTAAACCCAACCCACAATGCCTTGGCAGGCGCTTTCCGCCGGCTCGCTGCGAAGACACCGCAGAGCTTCGATCTGCTCTTCCGTGGGCTTTAGCTGAGGATTTAACCCTTACCCCTTTTTGGGGCTACCTCATAGGATTCTACGTATGAACCCCATAAAGGAACTACTTTAGGGCCCATGGGTAGGGTTCTTATACGGCTTAAAGCCCCTAAATCCCTTATAAGCCCTTAGAGGACTTACCGGATTGACTAAGAGTTTAGACCAGCAAGACTTCGGGTTTTGTCGCTTCGAACCTCTTTGTACGTGGCCTTCAGCTGGCAGAAGGCGGAAAGATGGGGCTGCGGGGGCTCGCCGACTCCTTTGAGTTGGGCCTCCGTTTCGGGGTTTAGGGCTTAGGGTTCAGGGTTTAGGGTCTAGGGTTTCGGGGTTTAGGGCTTAGGGTTCAGGAGGTTTCAGGTTTGCGTTCCAGAGTTTTCCTGCATACAAACTTTGTGTGAGGAGTATGCAGGGGGGGACTTTGGGCAGCCCAACATCCTTCCCAAATTCCCGGTAAACCCTAAATCCTAATACACCATAAACTCTAAACCCTCGACCCTGCCTGGCATTCAGATCCTTCGGCTTCCTAAACCCTAAACCCTAAACCGCGCCGACGGGGTGCTCGACAAAACCCCTGGAACCCTCCTGCATAACACGTCTGAGCGACTTGTAGACCCCTGATTTAACCCCCCCTTTCTTGAAACGCTGCTCCGCCTATAACCCTATAAAGGAGCTTTAGGGTTTGGGGGTTTATGGTTTAGGGGTTTCGCGTTTAGGGTTTAGGTTTGGGGTGTTTTTGTAGGGGTTTGGGGTTTAGGGGTTTAGGTTTTATGGGTTTAGGGGTTTAGGGTTTAGACTCTGCATTCAACATTGAATCCTGCACCCCTTTACCTCAGGACAACAGCAAGAAGTCTTGGAACCTACGCTTTTGCTAAGACTAAGGCTTAGACCTAGCCCTAGGGCTCCAAGTATACAACTAGTACCTACTTTGGGGTCTAATGTCTATAAATAGTGCCTACTTTGGGCTATTTGGAGCCCCAGGGTAGTTCCTAAAGTGTTAATTAAAGCCTGAGCCCTGCTCCGTGTATCTTGGGTCCAAGCCGAGGGTTTAGGGTTTAGGGGTT